AACGAAAAAGGAAGGAAGATAAGGCGGTTTTGACTTGTCTCGATGAGGATGAGGCTTTGTTTAAGAGGCTCATTGAAGACGATATATTAAAGATAATAAGTTTTATTATTTTAGATAATAAGTTACGAAAATGAAAAAGGTTTTTTGTCTCCAAGTGTTACCGTTCAGGAGTTTTCCAGAGATCAAGGTCGAAAAAGGACCCTGAAGTGTTTCCCAAGATTTTTTAATATACTTCAAGCTGGAGAGTTTGGGTTTGTTTTGTTTTAAGCTAGACACCTAACTACAGCGTCTGACCGGCGCCGATTTTTCAATTAAGCCTTTACTGCTTTTCCATGCAGCCAACAACCTCCAAACCCGAAAACTCCTTCCGGATTTTCTAAAAATTCTCAATTTGATAAAAACCTAAGACCTAATTCAAAAATCGGCGCCGGTCAGACCATATAGTTTCTTTTCCTCTTTTAAACAAAAAACGAATAAACTCTCTATGACAAACCGCTATAAAAAATCTTGGGAAATACTTCAGGTGAAGGAAAACGCTGTATTAAACGCTGTATGAAATACTCAATTTTAGAACTTCTAGAGAAATGCTTGTAACTTTTTGCTACAAGGTCATACAGAGTTGTGCGAGGTCTTATTTTGATCAGAAACGTTTGTTCTACAAAGCTGTGTGTTTAGAAAAATTTTAATTGCATAAGTATCCAGGAAAATGCTATTATTTGAAGACCTTGTTTTTCGAGGCTCCTAGAAAACTTGCTCAAAATCTGCGAAAGACCACTTTTGTAACCAAAAGATACAGATTCTGAAAGTAGACACTGCAGGCTATCTTCCCATGTGCTTATCTCAAAACCGATGTTTTGACCGAAAATCCGTTTTTCTGAGAGGGGGGGGGCCTTAATCGTATTGATAGCGATTTGTTGTAATATGTTGTTGTTTTTAAGGGAATAATTGCCTTGCCTGAGATTGGTCAACGTTTGGCAACAAAAATATTAGAAATTATTGAAACTGGTCATCTATCAAAATTAGAAGAATATCAAACGAATGATGAAGTGAAAAAAATGGACATGTTTACCAAGATATGGGGTGCGGGACCGACACAAGCTAAAAAATGGATTGATCAAGGTTATCAAACATTGGATGATTTACGAGCAAAAGCTCATTTGACACATAATCAACAAGTAGGACTTAAATATTATGATGAATTTTTACAACGGATACCACGAG